ACACCTGGCCACGTTTACCCGTGCGCCTGGCTCGAGTCTGTACACACTGACCACTGCGGCCCCTCAGGTAGCTGCGTCTGCGTCTGCGTCAGGTCAGCTGTCGGCCCCCTGCGAGTGTCGTGCTTTGTCGCACCAGACCCTCCTGTGGCACCACCGCCTTGGTCACCCCTCGGTGCAGCGCCTTCGTGGCATGCACTCTCGCTCTCTGGTTTCTGGTCTCCCCAGGACTCTGCCTGCCCTCCCTCCCTCGCCTGCGCCTCCTTGCATTCCCTGCGTCGAGGGGCGGCAGCGCGCCGCTCCTCACTCCTCCTCGTTCCCTCCCACAGAGGCTCCCCTGCAGACTCTCCACCTGGACGTGTGGGGCCCAGCCCGCGTCCGTGGACAGGGCCACGAGCGGTACTTCCTGCTGGTCGTCGACGACTTCACGCGTTACACCACGGTCTTCCCCTTGCGCAGCAAGGGTCAGGTCCCTGATGTTTTGATCCCTTGGATCCGCGCTGTTCGTCTCCAGCTCCGCGAGCGGTTCGAGAGGGACTTTCCTGTCCTGCGTCTGCACTCTGACAGAGGTGGTGAGTTCACCTCCGACCTCTTGGCGGCCTACTGTGCGGAGCACGGCGTCCGCCAGACGTTCACGCTTCCGGCCTCTCCGCAGCAGAATGGGGTTGCTGAGCGCCGCATTGGCTTAGTCATGGAGGTCGCTCGTACCTCCATGATCCATGCGGCTGCCCCTCATTTTCTGTGGCCGTTTGCGGTCCGGTACGCCGCGCATCAGCTCAACCTCTGGCCCCGTGTCTCCTTGCCGGAGACCTCGCCCACACTGCTGTGGACGGGGAAGGTTGGCGATGCGTCGCGTTTCCGGGTCTGGGGTGCTCGTGCCTTTGTCCGCGATACCACTGCGGACAAGCTCTCCGCCCGCGCTATTCCCTGTGTCTTCCTTGGCTTTGTCCCTGACGCGCCTGGTTGGCAGTTTTACCACCCCACCTCGCGTCGTGTCTTTGCGTCTCAGGACGTCACGTTCGACGAGTCGGTTCCCTTTTACCGTCTCTTCCCCTACCGCACTGCCCCTCTCCCTCCCCCGCCGCTCTTCCTCGCTCCAGGTGCTCCCCAGGTCGACCCTCTCCCCGCTCCAGGTCCTGCTCCCTCAGGTGTGTCTCAGGTAGACCCTCCTCCCTTCCCTGCGCCGGTTGAGGTCACTGGTGACTCAGGTCCTGCTGGGGGTGGTCCTGCTCGGGGTGCTACTTCTGGGGGTGCTTAGTCTGGGGGTGCTGGGCCTGGGGGTGCGGAGCCTGGGGGTGCGGAGCTTGAGGGTGTAGAGCCTGGAGGTGCTGAGCCTGCGTGTGAGGGGTCTGGAGGTGCTGGAGCTGGTGGTTCTGGGGCTGCTGAGGGTGCGAGCGCTGGAGGTTCTGGAGCTGCTGGAGGTTCTGGTGCTGGTGGCGCTGGAGCTGCTGAGGGTGCTGGCGCTGAGGGTTCAGAGTCTGCTGTTGCGCGGTCTCCTTGGAGTAGCCGCCTTCGTCCACGTGTGCCTCTCACCTTGCAGCAGCTGCACGACTGGTACGGTCGCCGTCAGGGTCGCGCTGCTGGAGCCCGGGGCTCTACTGCTGGAGGTACTTCTGCTGCCGTCCCTGGAGCTAGGAGTGGTGCTGGTACTGTTTCTACTGGAGGTGCTGGAGTCGCTGGTCCCGGAGGTGCTCGTCCTGGAGGTACTGGAGCTGCTGGGGCTGAGGGTGCTGCGTCTGGAGGTGCTGCTGCTGGAGACACCGAGGCTGGAGACCCTGGGACTGGAGGTGCTGGTTCTGGGGGTGCTGCTGCTGGAGACGTGGAGGCTGGAGACCCTGGGACTGGAGGTGCTGGTTCTGGGGGTGCTGCTGCTGGAGACGTGGAGGCTGGAGACCCTGGGACTGGAGGTACTGGTTCTGGGGGTGCTGCTGCTGGAGGCACTGGGGTTGGAGACCCTGGGCCTGGCGGTGTCGGTTCTGCTGCTGGAGCTGCTGGAGCTGCCGGTCCTGGTGCAGCTGCGCCGCCACGACTGTTCTTCGCTCCGCCGTCTCCGTCGTCTCTGCCGCCGCCTGACTCTGTTCTTCGTCAGGTTCTTACTCTCCCGTCGTCTACTGGTCTTCCGTTACAGCCTGGCTCCCCGCTGCCTGCTCCTTCTCCTTACACTGAGCAGACAGGTAGTCTTGCTGAGCGTCGTGAGCCTGCGTCTCGTCCTGTCTCGCCTGTTCGTCCTAGTCGTACCGGTCGTCGTGTTCCGCGTCCGCGTTCGCCGCCTGTCCCCACCGCACACCTTGTCGTCCGTCGTCCTTCCTCTGTTCCGCAGTCTGTTTCTCTGCCGTCTCCTCCTGCGTCTTCCTTGCCTCACGTTCCGGACCCTGAGTCTGACCGGTTTCGTGCTAAGCACCCTACTGTCACGCGTCTGCTCGCCACTGTTGTCACTGACCCCTCGTTCGAGTCTGCTGCTGCGACTGCTTTGGTTGCTGAGCTTGTTGACTTTGCGGCTGCCTGTCGTCTAGACTACGCTGCTAGTCTTGTCGCTGAGTCTGAGTCTGTCTGTCCTCCGTCCGTCGGGGGTGAGTGTGCTCTTAGCACGGACGTCCTTGAGGACAGGCACGAGGACCTTGAGTGTCTTGCAGCCGCTGCGCCTCATCTCGTGACCATGCTGCTTGCCCCTGAGGGAGACCCGAATGCACTAGACATCCCCACCCCGCGCTCGTACGCTGAGGCGGTCGCGGGTCCCTACTCCTCTCAGTGGCAGGCAGCCATGGACGCAGAGATGGCATCCTGGAAGTCCACAGGCACCTACGTCGACGACGTTCCCCCTCCTGGGGCGAACATCGTCAGTGGCATGTGGATTTTCAGGGTGAAGCGACCGCCTGGTTCTCCGCCTGTCTTCAAGGCACGTTACGTTGCTCGAGGCTTCAGTCAGCGAGAGGGGGTTGACTTCTTCCAGACCTTCTCCCCCACCCCGAAGATGACCACTCTTCGGGTACTGCTGCACGTTGCCGCTCACCGTGACTACGAGCTTCACTCACTTGACTTCAGCACAGCTTTCTTGCAGGGCAGCCTGCACGAGGAGATCTGGCTGCGCCGCCCACCTGGCTTCACTGGGTCGTTCCCTCCTGGTACCCAGTGGAGCCTCCGCCGGCCAGTCTACGGTCTCCGTCAGGCGCCTCGTGAGTGGCACGACACACTGAGGACTACGCTTGCGGCTCTCGGGTTTGCGCCCTCCACAGCTGACCCGTCACTGTTTCTGCGCACCGACACCTCGCTGCCGCCGTTCTACATCCTCGTGTACGTCGACGACTTGGTCTTTGCCATTGCTGACACTGAGGCTCTCGCCCTGGTGAAGTCGGAGCTGCAGAAGAGACACACGTGCACAGACCTGGGTGAGCTGCGCAGCTACCTTGGCTTGCAGATCACCCGGGACAGAGCACGTCGCACCATCACTCTGACTCAGTCACACATGGTGCAGCAGGTCCTTCAGCGCTTCGGCTTCACCTGGTCCTCGGCACAGTCCACTCCTCTGGCTACAGGTCACTCGCTCTCAGCTCCACCTTCGGACGAGTCCGTAGAGCCGAGTGGTCCTTACCCAGAGCTAGTAGGCTGCCTCATGTACCTGATGACTTGCACTCGTCCTGACCTTGCGTACCCTCTTGGCCTTTTGGCCCGCTACGTGGCTCCTGGTCGGCACCGAAAGGTGCACTGGGATGCTGCGAAGAGGGTACTGCGCTACTTGTGCAGTACATCGGGCATGGGGCTCGTGCTTGGAGGACGGCGAGAGGTGGTCCTCACTGGGCACTCAGACGCGTCTTGGGTTGACGACCAGGCTACACAGCGGTCGTCACAGGGTTACACTTTCAGCCTCGGCTCTGGTTCTGTTTCGTGGCGTTCTACTCGCTCGTCTTCTGTTCTCAGCTCCAGTTGTGAGGCTGAGATCTACGCCACCGCCATGGCTGCTCAGGAGCTGCGCTGGCTCACGTACCTGCTGACCGACCTGGGAGAGCGGCCTCGTTCTCCTCCAGTTCTGTACGTTGACAACAAGGCAGCCATTGCCTTGTGTGAGGAGCACAGACTGGAGCACAGAACGAAGCACATCGCTCTGCGTTACTTCCTGGCTCGAGAGTTGCAGCAGCGTGGTCAGCTTCGTCTTGCACACGTGGCCACTCGGGCCAACACTGCTGATATATTCACCAAGGCACTTCCGTCTGGTGATCATCAGCGCTTTTGTGCCTACCTTGCACACGTGGCCACTTGCTGTAGACTCTGTCTGTACTGTGATCTTTATATATATACCTGCATGCTTGCTCTTGCTAGGTAGTGATCACTGTACTTTGTTTGTTGCATATATATCTCTGCATGTGGACTGGCCTTGTGGCCCTTTGCTTGTGCTCAGTTTGTGTGGTGACGTTGTGATCCACCCTGAGCTTGGTTTGTTTCTCTTGACTGGTCTTGTGACCCCTTGTTCTCCCCCACTTTGCCTATGGGGGTGTGTCAAACAATGCATATTGTGTTTGTGTAGGCTGCTAGTGGGGTAGCCCATATGGGGTACAACCCAATGTTAGGGTTAGCTTATGTACCCAACTCTTCATCAATGCATTCATTCTTGTCTCTAGATTCTGACAACCCCTGTCTACTATTCAACACTGTCTACTATCCGGGCGATGACGGTATGGCAAACTCTGTTGTTGGTACCCCACATGACATGCACTACATTTACTTGCCACAACTATGATGTGGGCAGAAAATCAGTGGCCAAGGTTGGGGTGGGGATATGAAAGGAAAAGCAGTTCCATGGTGCCTGTCGAACTCAAACAACCGAAAAAAACATCCTGCTTTCTGTGTTTCAAAGCAGTTGCACCTGGCAGCGGAAAAGTCTCCATTCATCCATACAATATACCAATGCATCCCCCCTAAACCAACCCTTCTATCAGCATGTGACCACCTCAGATACTGCATCCATGCAATTCTAAGAAAATGCTCATATGCACACTACCCACGACACGTTAAGAAGAAACGTTTGTGAAGTAGGTGACAGTGCGGCCATTCAGGGGCTCGGGAAGGCGATTGTCAGTGCGCTCGGTGTTCTGCTTGGCAATCAGGTTCATGAATGTGATGGCCTGTTGACAGCAGAGGGGGAAAGGAAAGAGAGGGGAAGGAACAGAACAATGAAGGCGGATTGCTTCAGCAAAGCAAAGCAAGCAAAGCTAGATGAACAAGCCACGTGAGTTCAAAACAGCTTAAAGTTGATCCTACCCTGTCTTGCTCGAGTCCAGTAATGCAACGCCTGAATGAATACCTGAGACACGGAGAGGAACTTGGCCTTGGGAATCACATGCCACACGATCCCGCTGCGACATTTGAGTCGCCTCTAAAGTCTCCTACCTGAGACACGGAGAGGAACTTGGCCTTGCGCAACACATGCCACTCCACGATCTCGCTGCAGGCAGGCGTGGTGAGCGAGCCGGAGTAGCGCCAGAAGCCCATGGACGGGTCGATCATCTCCGGCCAAAAGTTTTCGGGAACATTGATGGTGGTGTTGGTGTCCACCACAGCGGGTACCTTGCTCTGCCAGCTGAGAAGCAAGCACGAAGTTGGGGGATGGAGGGGAGGGAAGGGAGGAAAGGGGAAGGCTGGGGGAGTGTCCAGAAGTCAACGGACGGGTCAATCATCTCCGTCCAAAACTTGTCGGGAACGTCGATGGTGGTGTTGGTGTCCACCACAGAGTAACATTCGTATAATAGCAGAGGGTACCTTGCTCTGCCAGCTGAAGAGACAAGAGGGAACACAGACATTGGGGATGGAGGAGGAGGGGAGAGAGGAGAATGCATAGGGGAAGGAGTCAATGAGGGAGAGGAGAAGGGAAGGGAACGCGCCACTCGACGATCTCGCTGCAGGCGAGTCGGTCATCTCCGTCCAAAAGTTCTGAGGAATGTCGATGGTGGTGTTGGTATCCACCGCGACGGTACCTTGCTCTGCCAACTGAAGTTTGGAGACTCAAGGGGTTGGGAAATGGAGGTGATTGGGGAAGGAAAATGCAGCAGGGTAAGAGAGGGGAAGGGAAGGGAAAAAAGAATGTGGATAAGAAGTCGTTGCAACTCAAAACATGGTAGTAGAATCGAAATGTCGAAGATCAAATTGACACGTAGTAGGCGTAAGTAAGCACTCACACATCGATCCAGTCGGACTTATCGTCGTGACGCTGAAGCCTGATCATCACCCCCACCACCGCGAGGGAGGTGTTGTCGTTCTCGTGCAGGTGCACAAAATGGGCTTCCATGGCCGCGAACAGCCCATTGACTGCGTGCTCCGAGAACGAGTGCACGTGCACCTGAAAATGAAAGAGGAAGAAATACACGCAACGGATCGGTACAGAATCATCCTGTGCATTTAGCAAACGGTACACAAGAAAATGTATGCAATGCTACTAGCTTGACAAAACTCAGCACGCATACCTGTTTCAGAACGAAGGTTCCTTTGCTGATGTGAAGCTTGTAAGTCTTCTCCGGGTTTGGAACAACCTCTGCCAAGAACAATCAACCAAGCGTTAAGAAGGAATGACGGATGACAAGAACAATCATTCATCTTTGAAGATGATTTTCTATCTTCAGACTGTGAACACCGAACCAGAAAACCCCGATGCCTCCCAGCGAAACTCCAAAAAACCCCCATCCTCCCAGCGAAACTTACGAACGGTGTATCCGTGGTTGACAACGCTCGCGGTGGTGGCTGACTTGTCGTAATCGAGAACGAACTTCTCCGGCTCGCTCACCTCCTTTGCCTCGTCCATGACGATGTTGATCGGCGACTGCTTCTCGCCCGACAGGCAGTCCCCCTGCACGTCATCAAGAATAAAACCGAGAAAGATACCCGAAGCGCATTCAACATTCGAACGCCTAACTACCAAGGCGGATCAATGAGATCGCTTCGACTCCCCCAGTTCAGAACGAGGCAGCAGAGCTCTGCTATAGCACGCAACACTCACCCCCCAGTCGAGACCACTCTGGCTGTAGCTGACTTGGCCGTTGGCGCCGTTAGGAACGGCGAGGAGCGCGAGGAACGCGATTGAGAGGCGCACGAGATCCATGGCGAGAGGTGGTGATCGAACGGCGAGATGTCTTCGAACAGAAATGATGATATTGAGCAAAAGAATAATGAAGGAAATGTAGTATCTGCTTCAAATTTATGAGAGGGAGCACATGCCTAGGGGTTGAGCACCTGCGATTGTAACCACATCTGCGATGCTCGTCAGTTGTGTGTACTCTGTGTTGGAACACCCCACCCCGGCTTGCGAAATGAATCGCGAAAACAGTTGAGTCATTACGCAAGGACTTTTACAAACACGTGTTCGCGATCGCGCCACGCGTGCTCGCACTTTCGCGAGACGGGTGTGCGCTGCATGGTGTGGTTCACAAGGGTATTTACGACCTGAACCAGGCAAACACCCTGTATCAATTGGAATATACAGGTATTTCAAACAGCCGCACTCACAAATTGATACAGCTTGTTGGGGCAATCGTCTGCCTTCATTTGAAGTCTCGCTGACCCGTTTGAGTTGGAAACGGGGCCCCTTTCCGTACGAAAATTATCCCACCCAACCAAGCACTCAGCCGAATCGTATCCCCACACCTAGCCTGGTCTTTCCAGGCTCGGAGAGCCTGACCTGCTCGTCAGACGAGTGCGGTGATCGGGGGTTTGATATGCTGATCTGCAGTTTTTGCTTGTGGCAGCGGCGTGGCCTGTTGGCGAGAAGGCGGCGAGAATGTGCTTGTATGAAATGAGAAACATGCGGTTCGGGAGGAGAGAGTGCGCTTGGCGGATAATAGAATTTTGAGAACTGGGTGAGTGTAAGAATAAAATGTTGCACAAATACCACAGCATGCACATTGTAATGAATTTTCCCGAATTCCTTATCGGGGTTGACTGCTTTGCGTACAGCCCCGACTTTCGGACTCTGCACGTTCGGCCGACATCAACGATGCCGAGGCTCCTCGCGTCGCCTTCGGCTTTTCATTTCGCCAAACCTGCACCCAACCTCGCTCACCCGAGGTTCTTTCCTAGCTATGCTAGCTACTACATTAGCGCGTACCTTCATTGTATGCTGAGTTCGTTCAAACACAGTCTCTTTATTCGTTAATCTGCACACTCTCTTTTACAACTCATAACACCTGGTATCAGAGCTACTTTCCTAGTTCACCCCGCTTTTCGAGGGTAGTTTGGTGGCACGGGTGTGGCTGGTATAATGGACTACACGATGGTTGGCTGCAAGGTTTGTTAATTAAATCCTACCCGACTCCGATAGTTCGTGTTTTTCACTCGCCTGAAGGTCACGGATACCCATCTGCCCACCAGACGAAGTCTCCAACTCATGGATCAGGAGAAGCTAACCGAGATGCTAGCGCAAATGGCAGCACTACATGTTAGAATCTAGAGACAAGAATGAATGCATTGATCAAGAGTTGGGTACATAAACTAACCCTAACATTGGGTTGTACCCCATATGGGCTACCCCACTACAGCCTAGACAATATGCAGCACATATAGTTTGACACACCCCCATAGGCAAAGTGGGGGAGAACAAGGGGTCACACGACCAGTCAAGAGAAGCAAAACAAGCTCAGGGTGGATCACAACGTCACCACGCATTCCGAGCACAAGCAAAGGGCCACAGGGCCAGTTCACATGCAGAGATATATATGCAGCAATAACAGTACAGTGATGGCTACCTAGCAAGAGCCAGCATGCATATATATATATATATATGTACAGATCACAGTACAAGCAGAGACTACAACAAGTGTGGAAACGTAGGCACAAGGCCCAACAGAGTACAAAAGCGCTGATGATCACCAGACAGAAGTGCCTTGGTGAATATATCAGCAGTGTTGGCCCGAGTGGCCACGTGGCGAAGACGAAGCTGGCCTCGCTGCTGCAACTCTCGAGCCAGGAAGTAACGCAGAGCAATGTGCTTCGTTCTGTGCTCCAGTCTGTGCTCCTCACACAAGGCAATGGCGGCCTTGTTGTCAACGTACAGCACTGGAGGAGAACGAGGCTGCTCTCCCAAGTCAGTCAGCAGGTAGGTGAGCCAGCGTAACTCCTGTGCAGCCATGGCGGTGGCGTAGATCTCAGCCTCACAACTGGAGCCGAGAACTGAAGACGAGCGTGTAGAACGCCACGAAACTGAACCAGAGCCAAGGCTGAAGGTGTAACCCTGTGACGACCGCTGAGTAGCCAGGTCGTCAACCCAAGAAGCGTCTGAGTGCCCAGTGAGGACAACTGGGCTCGTCCCTCCAAGCACTAGCCCCATGCCTGATGTGCTGCACAAGTAGCGTAGTACCCTCTTAGCAGCAGCCATGTGCTCAGGTCGGTGCCGACCAGGAGCCACGTAGCGAGCCAGGAGACCAAGAGGGTACGCGAGGTCAGGTCGAGTGCAAGTCATCAGGTACATGAGGCAGCCGACTAGCTCTGGGTAAGGACCACTCGGCTCTACGGACTCGTCCGAAGGTGGAGCTGAGAGCGTGTGACCTGTAGCCAGAGGAGTGGCCTGTGCTGAAGACCAGGTGAAGCCGAAGCGCTGAAGGACCTGCTGCACCATGTGTGATTGAGTCAAGGTGATGGTGCGACGTGCTCTGTCTCGGGTGATCTGCAAGCCAAGGTAGCTGCGCAGCTCACCCAAGTCTGTGCACGTGTGTCTCTTCTGCAGCTCCGACTTCACGTGGGCGAGAGCCTCAGTGTCAGCAGTGGCAAAAACCAAGTCGTCGACGTACACGAGGATGTAGAACGGCGGCAGTGAAGTGTCGGTGCGCAGAAACAACGACGGGTCAGCAGTAGAAGGCGCGAACCCAAGAGCCGCAAGCGTAGTCCTCAGTGTGTCGTGCCACTCACGTGGCGCCTGGCGGAGACCGTAGACCAGCCGCTGAGGCTCCACTGGGTACCAGGAGGGAACGTCCCAGTGAAGCCCGGGGGGCGGCGCAGCCAGATCTCCTCGTGCAGGCTGCCCTGCAGGAAAGCTGTGCTGAAATCAAGAGAGTGAAGCTCGTAGTCACGGTGAGCAGCAACGTGCAGCAGCACCCGAAGAGTGGTCATCTTCGGGGTGGGGGAGAAGGTCTGGAAGAAGTCTACTCCCTCTCGCTGACTGAAGCCTCGAGCCACGTAACGCGCCTTGAAGACAGGCGGAGAACCCGGCGGCCGCTTCACCCTGAAAATCCACATGCCACTGACGATGTTCGCCCCAGGTGGGGGAACCTCGTCAACGTAGGTGCCTGTGGACTTCCAGGAAGCCATCTCTGCGTCCATGGCTGCCTGCCACTGAGAGGAGTAGGGACCCTCTATCGCCTCTGCGTAAGAGCGCGGAGTCGGGATGTCTGGTGCATCCGGGTCTCCCTCAGGGGCAAGTAGCGAGGACACAAGATGAGGTAAAGCAGCAGCAAGACACTGGAACTCCTCCTGCCTGTCCTCAAGGACGTCCGTGCTAAGAGCACACTCACCCCCGACGGACGGAGGACAGACAGACTCAGACTCAACAACAAGACTAGCGGCGTAGTCTAGACGACAGGCAGCAGCAAAGTCAACAAGCTCAGCGACCAAGGCAGACGCAGCAGTAGACTCAAACGACGGGTCAGTGACAACTGTGGCTAGGAGACGCGTGACAGTGGGGTGCTCAGCACGAAACCGGTCAGACGCCGGGTCCGGAACGTCAGGCAAAGAGGACGCAGGAGGAGACGGCAGAGGAACAGGCTGCGGAGCAGAGGAAGGACGACGGACTACGAGGTGTGCGCCGGGGAACACGACGACCGGTACGACTAGGACGAACAGGCGAAACAGGACGCGACGCAGGCTCACGACGCTCAGCAGGACTACCAGTCTGCTCAGTGTAAGGAGAAGGAGCAGGCAGCGGTGAGCCAGACTGTAACGGAAGACCAGTAGACGACGGAAGAGTAAGAACCTGACGAAGAACAGAGACGACGGAGACGGCGGAGCGAAGAACAGTCGTGTCGGCGCAGCTGCACCAGTACCAGCAGCTCCAGCAGCTCCAGTGCCTCCAGCAGCTCCAGAAGCTCCAGGCCCAGAGCCGACACCTCGAGTCCCAGGGTCTCCAACCTCTGTGTCTCCAGCAGCAGCACCCCCAGAACCAGCACCTCCAGCCCCAGGGTCTCCAACCTCAGTGTCTCCAGCAGCAGCACCCCCAGAGCCAGCACCTCCAGTCCCATGGTCTCCAGCCTCAGTGTCTCCTGCAGCAGCACCCCCAGAACCAGCAACTCCAGCACCTCCAGTAGACAAAGGACCAGCACGACTCCTAGCTCCAGCAGCGCGACGCTGACGGCGACCGTACCAGTCCTGCAGCTGCTGTGGGGTGAGAGGCACACGTGGACGAAGGCGGCCACTCCAAGGAGACCGCGCAACAGCAGACTCAGAACCCTCAGCGCCCGCACCCCCAACGGCTCCAGAACCTCCGGTGTCAGTACCCTCAGCACCAGTACCTCCAGCGGCTCCAGAACCTCCAGCGCGAGCACCCTCAGCAGCTCCAGAACCTCCAGCTCCAGCGCCACCAGTACTAGGCCCTCCAGCAGCTCCCGAACCTCCAGCGCCAGCACCCTCAGTAGCTCCAGAACCTCCAGCGTCAGTACCGCCAAGCTCAGCACCCCCAGACCCCTCACACTCAGGCTCAGCACCACCAGGCTCCACACCCTCAAGCTCCGCACCCTCAGGCTCAGCACTCCCAGGCTCAGCACCTCCAGGCTCCGCACCCCCAGGCTCAGCACCCCCAGAAGTAGCACCCCGAGCAGGACCACTCTCAGTAGGACCTGAGTCACCAGTGACCTCAACCGGCGCAGTCAAGGGAGGAGGGTCTACCTGAGAAACACCTGAAGGAGCAGGACCGGGAGCGGGGAGGGGGTCTACCTGGGGAGCACCTGGAGCGAGGAAGAGCGGCGGGGGGGGGGAGCGAGGCAGTGCGGTAGGGGAAGAGACGGTAAAAGGGAACCGACTCGTCGAACGTGACGTCCTGAGACGCAAAGACACGGCGCGAGGTGGGGTGGTAAAATTGCCAGCCAGGCGCGTCAAGGACAAAGCCAAGGAAGACACAGG